AAAATGTTCTAACTATTATTAAAAAAAACTAACTAAATAATTGATGAAGACGGCTCGGACACGTCGGATCTCATTTTCAATAACTCCGTTTGGTTGAGTGGAAAAAGTGACTCCGAAAATGTCATTTATTTTAAAATATTACTTCGAATAAACTCAGGCAGAATTAAAGGCAATTTTGCAAAATTTCGAGTTTTTTCTGAATATTTCCAAATATTTGTTTTAGAATTGTTTGAATAGAGCTGGCACAGAGGCGTCCTCTACCACTGCAACCTTATCAGATTTATTGTGGTATCTCCTATCTGTCCTTGGAGTGCGTTCTCTAGACCCGTGCTTTTTATTGGACTCCAGAGCCATGATACTGGCCACCCCATGTAGCTTGCCGGAGTGGGTTTTTTCTCTCCAAGCCTCGTAAACCTAAGCCTGCATAACGCTCCGCAATGGCACCATACCTATACGGCAGTTTCTTCCGCCTCCTGGCAGAACTTACACAGACTTTCCTCTGCCACGTTCATTCTTCCAGGTGCTTGTTGAGTTTACAACGCCCTGTTGATTGGCCTACCGTTATCCTAACAATCTTGCGGCTGTGGCTTAGTAGGTCCACTGTGAACTGTGGCAAGCAGGATTTGATAAACTGCTTTGCCTATCGTTGTCCTGGTGTTCGCTGCCACCAGCTCTGGAACTCTTTGTCTAACCAGTTCTTAGTAGATGTTTTAAAACTGCCTGCAGAAATTCCGCAGAATGGTTCTGGGCCTATCATCTCGGTGGCCGAGCGTCCTTTGGCCAAGTCATCAGCCTTTTCATTTCCTGGGTGGCCCTCGCCCTCGTGGCCTGGTATAGTTTATTTATTTTAAATTGAACCACTTTATTTTCAAGCTATGTATAGGGTACGATCAAATATTAGGCACCTTTGGCGTGAATAAATACTCAAAAATCCTATAGAAATGTTTTGAATATTCCCTACTAGAAACTACAATCGACAAAATAAAATACTGGTTGTCGGAAAGAAATTTCGAAAAGATCTCTTCATAATTATTTGCTTGGGGTAGCTTGGGCGACGCGACGGCGCGGCGCCGGCGGTGTACTTTCACAGTAGTTTGTTCTTTTTGTCAGAGGTGGAGGCAGGTTTATACGTGTGTATATTTTTATGAAATAATTGTTTAAAATTAAAAAAAAATATCTCCTAAACGGCACTGGGGCATGTGTATTCCAACGTATCTCAAATATAATAATAGATATAAATTAAATTTTACGTAGAATAATATCTAAATTATATTGATTCATTATATTATGGAACATTTTTGGAAACCTTGCCGCCTATGCTTCATGCCGACTGTTGATGGAGAATTATTTTTTGTAGTGGTTCAATTGAGAATAGATCAACTATACCCAGGCCACGGGCCAGTAAGTTTGTTGAACAGACCCACCTCCTCTAGGGCACGTACACAGTCTCCAACCAGCTTGGAGCTGATCTTTTGGGAGCTGATTGCCTTTAGGGCCGCCTGGCTGTCCAAGTAAATAACGATGTTTTTACTCCCAACTTTCCTTCCATTTATCAGTATGGCACAGTGCATTATTGCAGCGATTTCCGCCTGAAACACCGTGGCGTACCGTCCGAGACTTGTGGATATTTCCGCCTTATATAGGTTTGTTCCCGTAGATGCCGGCTCCATCCCCTTGCTGGGCTTGGAGCCGCCGGTGTACCAGATGTGGTCTGCTTTAATTGGGGGACCTTTCTCCCCGTTTTTCCTCCCTGGTTTTTTTTTCCAACCCAGAGGCCGGAAGTGCTTATTGAAAATGAAGATAGGTTTTGTTTTGTGTGAGGGCATCCCGAACAATGAGTTTACCTCTGGGACCTGGGTCCTCCTCTATTTTCCAGCTCATGGGCCTTTGGTGTTTTATAATTGGACCCTGGCCTTGCTTCAGTCTGGATAGTACCGCCTTTACTTCATTCTGTATGTAGATATGTAGTGGCGGCAGGTTTAGCAGCACCTCCAAGGCTGTGGTTGGGTCTGTTTTCATGGTACCCGTGATACATACGCATGCTAGCCTTTGCACACTTTAAAGCTGTCTGATTGCTACGGTCTGTGCAACCGAACCGTAGGTTATCATTGGTCTTATCACCATTTTGTATAACTATAGATTCATTTTTGGATTAAGTCCCCAGCTTTTTCCACAGAGCCTTCTGCATCTCCCCAGGGAAATTTTGGCCTTCTGGACAACTTTATTGAGATGTAGATTCCAGGTCATCTTTTGGTCAAAAATAACTCCTAGATATTTGACCTCTTTTAAAAAGGGGATCAGCAGCCGCTTGAAAAGCCTTTTTATCCTTATATGGAATTTTAGCCGTCCGCAACAGAAGTAAGGCCTCATATTAGTGATATTAGGTCTGTTCCAACCCGCCAAAAACCGTCCCAAGAACGGTTTCGGAATCACTCTGTATACGAATTTCGGATTCTACGCATACATTTCACATTTTGCGCAGAATCCTGACGGTAAAATGTACGGTTCCCTGCTGGGTTGAAACAAAGCTATTGATTCCTAGCCTAGGTTTCCTCCCTCGTTTCCCGGTTTTGAAGTGAAAACTTCTTTAGAATCGTTGGGAGTGATTTGAGACTCGATTAAACGAAAAAGCGACACTTTTTTAAAACGCTTAGGTATATTAACACACAACACAACAAAAACCTGGAACAAGTCTGGAAAATGTCTGGATGAATCTGGACAAACTCTGGAAAAGTCTGGAAATCTCTGGAAACGTCTGGAAAGAACCTGGAAATTTCTGGAAAGGGTCGGAAAAATTCTGCCAAAGGTCCCAAAAGACCTGGGGATCATTTTCCAGAATCCGGATCAGTCTGTACAAGTCTGGATAAATCTGGATAAAATCTGTAAAACTCTGGATGAGTCTGGATATTGTCTGGAAAAGTCGGGAAATCTCTGAAAATGTCTGGTAAAGACTTGGAAATTTCTGGGAAGGGTTGGAAAAAGTCTGGATAATGTCTGGAAAAGTCTGGAAATCTCTGGGGCTAACAAGCTTTTATAATACATTGAAATATAAAGTGAAAAATAAATATAGTTTAAAAAAACTAAAAAACTCGCTTTTATAGTAAATTGAACTAAAAAGTGAAAAATAATTTCTAATATAAAAAGAAAATATTAATGAACAAAAAATATTAGAATTATTGTCAAAAAAGCGTGGGGTACTCAATGTACGAGAAATGTGGAACTAAGCACCCCACGCTTTTTTGACAATAATTCTAATATTTTTTGTTCATTAATATTTTCTGTTTATATTAAAAATTATTTTTCACTTTTTAGTTCAATATACTATAAAAGCGTGTTTTTTAGTTTTTCTAAACTATATTTATTTGCGTTCTTTCTCAAGTCTTTTGGAGGGGGGGGACGTCACTGTGTATGTTAGTATGTGTGTAATGCATGCAGTTCGATGAAGGTTCACTTCTACTGGGTCCGAATTGCACACTTTTTTTTTTAAAGTATTTCTTCACTTAGCAAGTTGCTATGTGTAACTACGCCGCTATTGGTCCGCCAATGTACTGCGTTATTAGGACATACGTTATGAGGACGTCCTCTGATAGAATCGTTTTGGTGGGGTCCTTATATAGTAGTAATAAACCACATAATTAAATTTCAAAAAGCTTCTATCCATATTTCCGGTAGACATTAGGAAACTAGGCATGCCAAATGGGAGTGTATTGTAAAATATATTAGAAAATAAGCAACATTTGACCCTGTCCTCGGTACGAATTGGTAGGGGGGATGTCCTCATTTTGTACCCTGGGTACGTATAGGTGTGTGTGTGTGTTGGCATTTTTCTGAGAAAACGGCTCGATGGAATTTGATGCAATTTTGGAAATAGGTATAAGAAGACGTGTAGGGAAAAGTTACGCAGAGATATAGGAAAAAAAATAGTTCCTCTTCAAGATATGACGTTATTGATCTTTTTTTTAAATGGGCACGCCATCTTTTTTTTCATTGATTGGTTAGAACTCATTTTGCTTTATATAATACAAACGAAAAAAAAAAAAAAAAATTAAAAAAAAAAAAATCTCAAAAATCTCAATAGGTTTTATTGGGACATTTTTGAAATTGAAAAATTGAAAAAAAATTATATTAAAACCTGAAAAAATGTCAAGATCTATTAAAATGAATTCATGGTTTGAAATGACAATAATTAATGACAATGACAATCATTAATTAGGTAGTTATTTGTCTAGGAAGCGTTATGTCAAAAATTTGACATCTGGTTTATGATGGATATTCACCTAAATCCTAAATATTCATATTTAAAATTGCTAAGAGGTGGGGCACAAAATGGCGGCGTTTTCAATATGAATAGGATTTAATAGAACCAATCAAAAATAAATTAAGACTGCAATTGTCGCCACTGTGGTAATAGAGTCATATATTGTCACCAGCCCTGATTGACGCTGCTGTCTCTAGCGGGAAAACATCGAAAAAATTATCCCATACATAAAAGTTTTATGGTCCTAGGAACATTATTGATCACTTCTGTGCCGAGTGTTGATGACAATAAAGTTCAAATTATGGACCCCTTAAAGATAATAGTTATTTACAGATTATGTACCTACTTAAAGGGGGTGTGACCCTAAAAAACGACTTAAGCTACTTAAATCAAGAAAAAAATTCTTAGATCTCTTGTAAAAACCGCAGTCCTGTATTCAAAATAGTCTCCGAGAAAATTCCTTGTGAAGATCAATTATGCAGGAAATTGTGATGTCACAACCGCCGAAATCGCAGTCTTCTGGTCGTTCAGTGGTCAGTGAACCGTACCCTATACTTTTAGTGGTTGCAATTCGTTTTAGGAGATAATTATCTTTTACTTTGGAGAATTCTCACACGTGTTAATACTGTCCCTGAAAATCCAGTGTGACGTCACAAACGCCTAGTTGTAACTTTAAACCGCCCTAACTCGAAAACGGCCCATCGTAGCAAGATGCGGTTCGAATATTTATTCTTAGATTTTTTTGCACTAAAACTTTTATTTTTGGGTCACACCACCTTTAATGATCTTTTCATTTGATATCAATTCTCAATCAAAAAAGTTTTCTGTTTTCCAGGATCTTTATTTTAGATGCAAAATTTTTCCGAAAAAGATTCCATCAACCACAAGCTCGAATTCATGAGCAGCTTATATTTTAACCGATCATAAAACGACTCCATCTGACTTTGTGGACTTTATTAACGGCCAAGGTTCAAGTGAGAGCAATGATGAAATTAGGCAAAACGATTTAGCTAATAATATTATAGATTATTAGAATTTTTTTGTTTTTGTATTTTTACAATATATTGTATCTGCTTTTTTTTGTTCCTATAAATAATAGTAAAACAATTTTCTCATATTGTTCAAAGAAATATTGAATCATCACATCACAAAATAATCTATCTATTCTACATGTACGTTGGTGCTACTCTTGATCCGATTCAAAGCTTGAAAATCGACTTCATCATCAATCAAAGCTCCAAAGTCACCATTCTCATCATAATCCGGATCCAGGGCGGGAAACTCCATTCTTGGATCTCGCATCAAAGCCTGATTGATTCCTTTTAGAGCCATTTCACTGCGCTTGGCAGCGACTCCTCTACAGGCTGGCGAAAAAATGTATCTACGGCAACATTGAGGTAGAGGACGACAGTTTATCACTTTGCCAGGGACTAAAGTGGCAAAGAATATGACTAGGAGCAGGATTATGCTTAAAGTTGGGTGGTTTTTGGTGAAGTGGACCTGGAAAATTAAATTTGATATTATGAGTAGAATCAGATGATGCGGTGCTCTTTAGCAATTTATAAATTTGCAATGTAGGTATTTACAGTAAATTTTCTTGCTATTTGAACGAATCTTAAATACAAATATTGAATTTTCGGACAATGTACCTAAGTACCAACTCAGTCCCATAGAGGACCATTTAAGACGTTTTTATTGGGTAGGTATCCGATTATTAGTAAACCGGAATTGAGAAAAATTAAGTAAAAGTCTCAAAAGTTGACCCAGAAACTAGCCTTAAAACTTGACGCAGAAGCTAGCGTTGAACAAGATTATTTTTAGTTTTGTTACGTTTTGGTCGTTTTGGAATCTCCTTCAAAACTTCACTAATCAATAAATCCTAGTTGGAAAATGTTAAATTGCCCTTACCATATTGTTATTAAGAAATCACCACCAAACACTAGCTGAACTAAAACACATCTGTGAGCTACACTGATGCCAGCAAACAATTTATACCCAAAGCCTTTATTTAGTCATCTGGAAAATCTCCTGGTTTTCCCTTCCAGACGATAAATTCCGGATTGATCTTGAAACAATTCCATTACAGATCATTGAATTTCTTTGTGCCTTTAGGAAACGATAAGGTCTGTCTGTTATTGATATTATTACCAGCATTCAGTAATACGATCCTTATAAATGAGATAATTTTATATACATTCGAAACTGTCGGAATATTATTCTCTATGATTTCAGTATAAGGAAAAATTTATTTTCAACGTTATCCGCACAATAAGATAGAAATTGGGAAAGTGAGTTTATTTGGAAGGCAGAACATTGCAGTTTTCAGTTATTTGGAGAAATCATTTTAGTGAGATTTAGGAATATTTCTGGCGGGTTATACAAGTGGGACATGAAAAGCTTCCAAAAGAAGTTAATTTAGTCAGCGACAACAATGTGCTTAAGCTATAACAAGAGAGATTTGGACATAGACATAGAAGTTAACCATGATAGTGAACTTTGTGAAGGCTGTTTATATGGGTAAGCTGGTGGCGAATTCGACAATAATTGAGTAAGAAAAATTCTAAACCATCGTGGCATAAGACAGGGGTTAATCATGCCAGACACACCACAACAGAATGGCTGTTCCGGAAGAGAAAAAAGGACTGTTGTGGAGAATCCAGGGGCTTTGATGCACGCCAGAGAAGGAATATTTTATCAAACATTTTGGGCAGAAATGATCAATACGTCTGTATATTCCTAAACAGAACAAGCCAATCATGTATGAGTGGATTAAAAATGTCCTTTTGAAGTTTGGAATCAGAAGAAGCCTAACCTGGAACATCTAAGATAGATAGGTCGTAGTTGCGACTTGTCACAGTCATATTTATGAAAGTGGACGTAAGAAAATGAATAACAAAGCTGTTAGGGATACAGAATTTGGTCAATAGAACAAAGAAAACTTGTTACATCAAGAGACGTCATTTTTGACGAGCCTTTAGAAACTCAAAAACAAGTAGAAAATAAAAGTTTTGCTTTGCTACCAATGAAGCTTGTTATAAATGAAGAAGAGTTACAGAATTTATCAAATGATGAACCTAAAGATCAAATAGAAGAAGAAAAACAGTTCTCCGAAAAATACCAGATTCAAGATCAAATAATTCAACATTTGTAGATACCAAACCCAACAAAACTTATACACTCCTGTAGCTAAGGAAGAAACAATTATAGGTCACTGCTCAGTATTGCTGCTTGTTGAATATCAGTTAAAGGATATCCCGCAATTCCGCCAACTCGTGGCAACGCTGTTGTATGACGTCAGAAGACTTGAACAATTGCGCCACCTGAACAGCGGGAGCATGCATTAATTATTACACAGACTTTAACCAACGTGAAAACAGCTCTGTATTTTTTGAAAATAAATCTTGTTTTTTACAATCAATCAAATCGCTTCAATAATTAAAATCAGCAAAATCAAATAAACACTGCTAGCAAGAATATGACACTCACTCAGTTCCACGTATGCACTGCATTTCTCTATGGAAAACTAAAAAAAAGAAGTCTATATGAAGCAACCAGAGGAGTGTGAAGATGGAAGTAACATGGTCTATAAGCTTCAACACAGTCATAATGGACTAAAACAAGCACCTAGATGTTGGAATTAAAGATTTACCGATTACATAGAAGTTCTTGGTTTTGAAAGATCAGATGCCGACAAAGAAAGTTGAAGAAGACACACTTCTACTAGCATTATACGTTGATGATGGTTTTGATTGGTTGGATTGTTTCCGGATTGATTCCTTCTTAGAAAGTGTACGAAGAGAATTTAAAATTGACATCGAACCAACTTCTTATTTATTGGGTCTGAAAATTAGAAGAACTGGAAATAGTGCAGCAAAAGCGTTGGTCAATAAAGAAATATCGCCATTGAATGTGTCACACCTTTCATTCTTCAAAGTCCTGAAGCTCCGTTTTGAACACCCTGTATCTTGCTGAAAGATACCTACTGACACCTGAAGTCTGTCAAATCGATCTGTCAGTTCAAATAAGTATGCGAACAAACTGGAGCAAAATCATTTCGTGATGAATAACAGAAACATTCAAATATGTATCAAAGTCTTGATATTTCTTTTTTGCTCCTCTGCTATAGTTATTGCGTTCGTTTTGATTGGTTACGGAGGCTCGTACCTGATGGATCTTCCTTACGACGACGTGAATCTCTACCGGACAATAAGAACCGCGTCTATCATGAATATAGTAATTGGATTCGTAACGATTGTAATTAGTATTGTGGGAATTTGCAGTCCTATCGTGAATAGTAAACTCTTGTATAAAATTTTTGCTGGCCTCCTGATGGTCAATGGCCTGCTGATGATGGGCTTTGGAATTTACCTTGTGGTTACGTCGGCCAAACGTTATGACCAAAATTTGAAAAAGGATCTAGAGAAAATGCTAATAGTGAAATTTAGAGGATATTACCTCAACTGGAAAGATAACAAGTATTTAGACAATTTTCAGACGTACTATAAATGTTGTGGTGTGAATAACTCAAAAGATTGGAAGCAAGCAGTACCTCCACGTAGTTGTTATACCTCAGGGTTGCTTCATACAGAAGGATGTATTGACGCTTTCAGTACCGTTTCTCCTATCATGGTAGCCTTGGGTATTGTACTGATTGTTGTCGCAATATTTGATATTGCTCTTGCAATACTACTGGTTGTTTACCTAGCCAAAATTATTCGACCGGGCGTGCAGAACTATCCTTACTCTAACAACCCAGTACAACTATAGTACCTTCAACCAACTAATCGAATTCATCAATAAAAAATCGAGATTGGATGAAGCACTTAATATTCTTGTTTCATTATTTCGTTTTTCTTAAGAATCATTTTTCAATTGAAGTTCCAAAGTTTAATTTCAGAGAAGGGAAAATGTATTTCAGATAGGAATCTGTAATTCAGAGAAGATAAATTCAGGAAAGCAAAAGCGGGTTATACCAGTTCAATGTAATGCCTTTCGGATTGTGTAATGCTCCAGCTACGTTTGAGCAACTGATGCATCTTGTTTTGCGAGGCCTTACATGGAGAACTTGCGTGGTATATTTGGATGATGTCATGATCATGGGAAATTCGTTCTAAAAACATCTCAATAGCCTGAAAGAAGTTTTTGACCGCTTCCGGAATGCCAACTTGAAACTCAACCCAAACAAGTGTTTTCTATTTGAAAAGACAGTAGAATTTTTAGGTCACGTGGTATCTGAAGATGGCATACAAGTTATGGAAGGAACGATAGATGCTGTCAGGGATTGGCCAAAGCCACGTAACAAACATGAACTAAGGAGTTTTCTGGGTTTATGTGTTAAGAATTTATGTAAGCTTAGTTTCTCATGAGGAGATAGCGCCCTATGTTTTAGATACGATTTTAATAATGTGCAACCTGCTAATATTGCAATGACATATGTGTGTTCTGCATAGAGAAATATAATAGTAGTAAACTACGAGAGAAGTCATTCCCCTGTACTTAACTGGCACAATTTCGACGTTAGCGCCACTGGTGGCTACGGACAGCAATAAAAGAGTGAACATTGTTTGAATGCAGGTTTCTTCTTTACCGACAGTGAAAAACCGGACAAACACACTTCCAGATTGTTACATTAAACAAACGTCTCTCGTAGTTTACTACTATTATATTTCTCTAGGTGTTCTGTCAACTTTGTCAATGTTGTTGGTTGCTCTCTCCTATTATAACCGAATTGTTAATAATAAATACGTTGTTTAAAGTCGTCGAATCTGGGATTTTATTAATATAAAATAACAGGTTATGCGCCCAGCTCACCCAAGAAAGAAATACTAATTTGTGAAAAAGAAGCAAGACTTCAAAAGCAGAAAAATGAATGTGATAACAGTACCTCAGTTAAATGCCGGAAATTTTAACAATTGGAAGTTCAGAGTGGGGGCTTTATTGGAAGAAAAGCAGATAGAAGATACGTTGGGAAAGGTTTTAGACGACTTCACTGGAGATAAAGAAACATCAGAATTTAAGGTAAGAGATGCAAAGGCCAAATCAATAATAGTACAATGTATAAGCGACAAACACCTTGATATAATAAAAGACTCTAAAACAACAAAAGAAATGTTAAAGACGAAGTGTATTTACTAAACTGACACTTAAAAAACGATTACTGACCTTAAAACATAAACGACACGAAAAGCTAGAAAACCATTTTCATAAAGGACCCCGCACATTTCTTATAGAAAAGTGATCTATGTGGAATTTTGCTGAATTTTTGATATTGTGTATAGGGAGTCGTCCTTAACAAAAGTGATCATTGCGCTAATGTTCAATACCCAACAGTTTTCAAGATATCAATTAAAAACTTTTTTAAAAATACTCTTCAGTATGACGTCACTCACAGCAACGAAAATTATTACTATCCTTTCCACTTTTGACTTTGACTTTACTCTTCTCCTTTTAACATTAAGAAAAAAAAAAGATAGCGATAGCGATTAGTGACAAATAGGTAG